CCCCCCCCCGCCGTTTTCCCCCAAGCGAAGACCCCTGGAGGCTACGCAGACCCCAAAGAAGGCGGCGCAAGACCATTGGCCCAGAGGCAGAGGTGAGAGGCAGACAATCCTGCTCCGGAAGTGAAGGGACCCAGGGGCGCTGGCCAATGCTGTGGCTGGGGTCCAGGGAGAGAAGGATGGGTGGGCACAGGGGTCCAGGGAAAGGAAAGTACTGGAGGGGAGTGGGGACAGAAACAGCTACCAAGGTAAACTCACTTCAGTGACTGAGGCCAGGCAAAACACAAGGGGGAGATTATCTGTAGCCTGAGACCCTCTCATAGACACTGATGACACGTTTGTGCAAAACAAGCAATTTGAGGAGAAACTCCTGGATCATCGAAAAGAAGGAGTGACTGACTAATAGTTGTGTTTAAATTACTTTAAAGAGAACTAACATATACTATTGAGGGAAGAGAACGAGTATTACAAAGTCTGCAACCGCAGCAGCAACAGCCGGATAAAGGAAGGCTTTGTAAGTTTGGAATCGGATAATAGCATTAAAATTACAGAAGCGCCTCCTGGTCTCTGAAACATCAGTCCCCCAGCTGTAAGCCAGAAAAGACTAGTCAGTTTGCTCCCTTTGGAAGCAAAGAACTTTTCTCTGCTCGGGTGAAGACTTTCCGAGGAACACTTTCTGTCTCCTTATGTTGCAAGAGGACTCAAAGCCAAGACAAAAGAGCCCAGGTATTGCCAACTCTTTTGTTAGATACAGTTTGACGCTTAAGTGTACTGGAATCCATGTGCTATTTATGGCTCCATTCTCTTGTAATTAACTCTCAGGGTGCACATATTTACTTTTGTTTAGCAGCCGAACAGAGAATTACCTTAACCTTGTTCCTTCTTTGTTCGTGTACTGATAGCAAGCTCACCTGCAATTTGTAATCATGCAAAGAGTATTCAAAAACATTCTATGATTTGGCAGTGACAGTATAGGCATATAAGTAATCTTTGGTAAGTCTTAATTTGGGTTAAAGTCGTTCATAACAATTCCACTTTGGGATCACTGGGCTTGGCCCACATGTGGGTTAAATATCTCATCTTCTAACAAGCTGAGCACAGTTCTTTCGTGGTGCTGCTCTGCATCCCTGTGTCAGCCTCCCTGTGTCCCCAAGGAGAAGCGTGTTTCCAAGCAGAGAAAGAGCAGACAGTATTAAGTCTCCTGCAAGGTTAGAGTGGCTGTTATAGCTCTGGGCTGAGACTCAGCCCTCGCAGCTGGTCAGTTTACTGTCCTCCTGGTCAGTAGTTGGCATTGAAATGTCCAATGTGTCCTTTTTGGCAAGGACTTAAAGTCATGTTAGAAAGAGATGTAATCTCTTTTGCAATGGGTTATCTCAGGTCTGAAAGTGTTTTTAGAAAGCTAAATCAAATGAATAAAACATGTTATACATTAAATGATACAAGGTTACAAAATTGATTGTATATACTAGTACAAGCATACATTCATACCTACACAAATGCATATGTGGGATGTGTGTGTGTGTGTGTGTGTGTGTGTGTGTGTGTGTGTGCTTGCAAAATGTTGGTTATATCTGAATGATGAGATGAGAGGAAGGATTTTTTTCTTTTATCTATTTACTGTTGCTGAATTGCACATGTACTATTTTTATAAACAATGTCTGGATAGTTTAAAGGCTCTTGTGCAAACAAGAGACTAAATCTAGGAACTTCAATTGTTCCAATGTCATTATTAAGATCTCCAATAATGCTTTCAGGACATGAGAAGCTATGAAGACATTTTCCCATTAGTAAGCCCATTTAATGACAAAATCCAGTGGGAGACTCGCATACATTGGTTCTATAAAGAGTACATTTTCCAAAGTGCTGCACCAGGTCACAGCCCAGGGGATGAGGCTTCTTCTTTCCCCAGATCTCACCAGCATTTGTTGTCATTTGTTTTCTTGGTGATAATGCATTCTGAGTGAGGAGAAATAGGTTTCAAAGCACTTTTAATTTTCATTTTCCTGGTGGCTAAGAATCTTGGTGACTTGAATCTTTCAATTCTTTCTTGGTTGTTTATATTCCCTTCTTCAGAGCTGTTTTTTTTTTTTTTTCAGTTCGCTAGCACATTTAGTTACTGAATGATCGGGGGGAGGGCGGGCATTAACTTTTGTAGTTCTTATGGAAGTTCCTAAAGAAACACATCTAAAAATAGAACTACCATTCCATTCCTGGGTATGTAACACAGAGAAATTTGCATAGCAATGTCTATCACTGCCTTATTCACAACAGCCAGGAAGTTGGATCAATGTCAAAATACGAATGGATAAAGAAAATGTGGCACATATGTACAGTAGAATTCCATGTATCCATAAGAAGTGAAATCATGACATTTGCAGGAAATGGATGGAGCTGGAAATCATTAAGCTTATAAAAATAAGACAGACTCAAAAAGAAAATACCATGTGGCTTCTCTTATGTGCAGAACCTAGAGTCACAATCCTGTGTGTATATATGTGTTTATAATTTTATTTAATCATATACAATTCTAATTTATATGTGTATGTATAGGAATGTGTGAAATAAAGTAGAAACAAACCAGCCAGAATGGGGGTCTGAGAGAAAGCAATAGGAATAAGGGATGCTAATAAGAACAAGGCAATGAAGAAACACATTAATTTGTATGCTAACTGAACACAGACTGACAGGATTCACAAGACCTGCACAAGTACAAATCAGGGCAAAATCCCAAAACAGAGAAAGTGAAGTAGACACAAGGTTCATCCCTAACCAAGAAGCCATTTGCAATAGATACTTTCTGGAAAAGGGAAGTCTATCAGTTTTCTCCAGTGGAGTGACATTGAGGATGTCAATGACACTTCAGGACAGTCTCCATGCCCAGTAGTAGTTGGCCAACACAAAATAAAGTCCATGGATATTTTCTGTGTGTTTTCATTTTTTTTTCTGTTTTGTTTGTTTTGGTTTTCATTCGTTTACTTGTTTTGAGATCCAGCAAGAACACGAAGTTGGGTGCATAGGAAGGTGGGGAGGATCTGGGAGAAGTTGGGGAAAGAGAAAAAATATGACCAAAATATATCATATGAAAAATACTTAAATAAGAAAAAAATAGATTTAAAGTTCGTTTGCCACAACAGGTGTGAATTAAATTAACTACTCATGACCCTTAAAGAAAATATCCCCAATTATTCCAAGCGTTGCCAAGTGTGTTCCTGGGACTTTGCTTGAATTGCATGAATGACTCAGGTGTGGTGTCTTTTCAGGATGAAGATGGCAGACAAAGAAGTCAGATACTTGTTGACCTCCTTCACTGCAGTCTGCCTGGTGATCATCCCTGGGAGCAGGGCCTGTCCTCATCGTTGTGCCTGTTATGTACCTGCAGAGGTGCACTGTACATTTCGGTACCTGACCTCCATTCCAGATGGCATCCCAGCCAATGTGGAACGCATAAATTTAGGGTGTGTGGTCCTTGCCTGATCCACTTCTCAGAGAGGGACCACTGATCATCCTGGTGACTTGTCCCCAAAACACCTGTGATTATCTTAATAATTTTCTTATAAAATGAGCTCATAAGAGCCTTACATTTGTGGAGACAATAAATATTTTTTCCTGATAGTCTTTTACTAGAACCTGAAGACCCTCTTAGTTGTTTGAGATCCTCATAATTATGGGCCAGCTTCATTCTGAATAAATTTTTACTAGAAAATATTACAGTTTCTGTTAATAAGCATTGTTATGATACAAGGCATGACCAACCAAGAGTCACTAGCCTCCTATTTAAAAAAAAAATCCATCATTTCTTTTTGCAAAGTCCTTTGAGGTTTACAAATGCCCATACAGCACACAATGCTGGCCATCATCATTAGTGGCTTATTTAAAATACGTGAGTTACTAAATCTGGCAAATTATGGTGGTATTTTAAAGGTTTAAGAAAAATTGCTTGATGGGACACACCATCACCTATGTGACATTAGTGGGCACCTAAGCTATGCCAGCACTATTATTTGCCTTGGAAGGAAGCGATAAAGAGGTGGGATAGATGTAGTCAATGCAATGCAACAAGGATTATACAGCAGAGACAGTGCCTTGGAAGCAATCACCAACAGTGAAGACTGGCATAATTGTGTTCTCCCTATGAGATGCCCTTGGGCTGAGTACCGTATGCATTCATTCACTGGTCATCCTGACTAGTTTTAGATCAACTTGACACAAGCTGGTATCACTGGAGAGGAAGGAGCCTCAACTGAGAAAATGCTTCAATAAGATCAGGTCATAGCCAGGCCTATAGGGTATTTTCTTAATTAGTAATTAATGGGGGAGAGCCATTGTGGGTGGTGCCATCCCTGGGCAGGTGGTCCTGGGTTCTATAAGAAAGCAAGCTGAGCAAGCCATGAGGAGCAAGCCAGTAAGCAGCACACCTCCTTGGCCTCTGCATCAGCTCCTGAATCCACATTCCTGCCCCTGCTTGAGTTCCTGTCCTAATTTCCTCCAATGATAAACAGTGATGTGGAGGTGTAAGTCAAATAAACCCTTTCCTCCCCAGTTTTGCTTTGGATCATGGTGTTTCATCACAGCAATAATAAACTACCCTAAACTTAGACACTGGTGTTCATAACACCTTTGAACTACATTCTGTTATCTATACTTTATAACTGAGGAAACTGGAACAGAAAATATCTTCAGATTTTACCCAGAGTCACTCAAGCCTTTTGGACCCAAACTCGGAGTCACACCCTTGTGGACTCCAGTGGCAAACCTCTTAACCACTGATTACCTCAACCTGCAAGCTTGAGGGGACAGTGCCAAAGGGAATAGCCCAAGTCTTAGCACCTACAGAGAGAAAGTGATAGGCTTGGGAGGATGCTTTGGTGTACACACATATTTGAGAATGGGAAGGGATGTAGAAGGATGACTATGAGGCTCCAAGGACTGGGTAGGAAATGGAGCTTCTGCAATCATTTTCAATGTTTTGAGTATTTGAAAAATCTCTTGGGAACACAGTTGCAAAGGGGGGTAGTGGTTCTGTTTGTTTCTGCTTTGACATTTGAACTTTAACTGACAGACTCTGCTGATGCCTAAAACGAATTGTTTTTCAGATACAACAGCCTAGCTAGACTGGCAGAAAATGATTTTTATGGGCTGAACAAACTGGAGTTACTCCTGCTGCACAGTAACGGTATTCACACAGTCCCTGACAAGACCTTCTCGGATTTGCAGTCCTTGCAGGTGAGAGGGCTCGAGGGTGATGGAGCATTAGAGTGAGGTAGAACTGTGAGGCATACCCCCAAAGCTGCCTATCCCCATGGGACAGAAAATGGACATTCTGGACAGGAAGGAGGAAATAAGTGAGGGAGAAAGGGGAGGGAGAGAGAGGAAAGGGAAGGGGGAAGGGGGAAGGGGAGTGAAAGGGGAGTGAAAGAAGAGAGACTCAGAGGTGAAGCTTTCTCATACTCCCCAGCAAACTGAAAGAAGAAATCAATTTTCAAGGATTACTGAACCTTTACAGTTTATCCCTAAAAGGCCACTTTGAACTATTTGTCTGGAAGTAGAGTAGGAGAGTCTTTAACATGGCAGAATTTTACAGATTACTATAAATTTTCAGTTGGCTTTATTTTATTGTTTATCCTCTACCAACTTCAGACTGAAGTTACAAATACTCCCACACATTAATAAAACATTGCAAGAGTTATCACACACCTAAGTGAGAAACTAGAGGCTCAAACAAGGCTAGCAATCAGAATAAGGAGAATGTACACGGAGTGCTTTCTCTGCATACTGCCTGGACTCTCTTGAGAAGCTAGTTCACTCTGCTTGACTGCTCAGCACTCTAAGTAAACAAACCTACTATTCAGGAAATGCATTATAAAGTGCATATGTCCTATCTCATTCACCATAACTTGCATATAACAAACAACAGCAACAAAAGCAATAATATCCACTTTTCCCAGAGCCTTTAAAAGTCAAGCCAGAGCTATGTTTGGTGTTTTGAGCTAGGTAGCGTCGAGTGCAGTGTATGTATGGGATGATGTGGATTTGGCAGATCCAGCTGCATTTAGGACATGTAACTTCAAAAGGAATCAGCCATGTATCCTCTGTGGTATCCATCTATGTTTATTCTCTTAGCCAGGATTTCCTCTCACTGAGAAACATTAATACTCCCGGGTAACATTTCCAACAACGCTTTCCAGCTTGGCTTTTATTTGTTATGGAAGTTGGCATTCCAGAAAAGTCCCTGTTGTACAGATGGCAGTTTGAGTCAAATCAGAAAATGAATAGGAAGTCACAGTTTTTATAAGCATTTCATGTTCTTTTCTTTTTTAAAAAAATAGTATGCTGCACTATTTAGAAAGGGATTTAATGAATACTAAAGCATCATCAAACATTCAAAATTATTTGGCTTCTACTTCAGAATCAATTGAATTCCTATTATTGAAAAAGACAGCATGCCATATGTCCACCAGCTGATGAGTGGATAAACAAACTGTGTAGCATGCATACAGTGTAGAAATAGAAAGGGATGAAGAGTTGATATGTGCTACATCTTGAAAACATTTGCATAGGTGAAGAAAGCCAGACTCAAAGTACCACATAGTATATGATTCTAGTTATATGAAATGTTTAAAATACGTGAATCCTTAGAAACAGAGAGTAAATTAATTGTTGCTTAGAGTGAAGAGAAGACAAAAATAACTGTGAATGTGGATTGGTCTTAATTGGGGAATGACAAATTCCTTAGATGAGATAGTAGAGATAGATGTAGTTACCCCACAGTGGGTATACTAAAACCTGTGCTCTGACAAAGGCCCAAGGGAGGGACATGAGGGAGTACAAAGGTAATGGGAAAGAGTTACATACCATTGCTTCTCTCACGGGTGGACTCTAGATATGTTAATATATGGACATAAAAGAAGAAGGGCAATCATTTAGGGAAGGATAGGAACCAGCATGAGTGGGAAGGGGAAAATGTAAGGTAATGGGAGCCAAATATGAGCAAAGCATAATGATATATATTATGGAGATGTCATAATGACCTAAAATTTAAAAATGAAGTGCTTTTGAATTATATCTCAGCAAAGATACTATGAGTGGGGAAAACTGAAGTCCATAGATAGTCATATAAATCTTAAATTTATTATTTACAGTTCTTCTCCTCCTCCTCCTCTTCCTCCTCCTCCTCCTCCTTCTTCTTCTTCAAGGATGTTTTCCACTATACACAAAAGTAGGCAGAAGAGTGTAATGAACTCGGTGAGGCAATCTAAGGAAAGGAAGGGCAGCAGCCAGGGGAGGCCCAGGGAAGGGCAGTGAGAGGGAAATGAATTCCATAGTGCAGCACATTACTCTGTATTATAATCTCAAAAAAAGAAGGTGATGAAAATGCTCCAGTTACTTTCCACCCAGCTTCAGTAGTTATCCAAGTGGGACAGATTTTGTCTCACTTGGACCCTGTACATCACATTCCCCTGAGCTGTTTTGAATCCAATCCAAATTATGATGTTCAATCTTTGTTTTTGGTTTTTCAAGACAGGGTTTCTCTTTGTAGCTTTGGAGCCTATCCTGGCACTCGCTCTGGAGACCAGGCTGGCTTCGAACTCACAGAGATCTGACTGCCTCTTCCTCCCAAGTGCTGGAATTAAAGACATGCACCACCACCACTGCATGGCTGATGCTCAATCTTATATAGAATAAAAGATTAAAGGGAATTTAAAAGTAACCATGGCATCACTATCTCATATATTATCTCTTTGGTGATAATTCCTTGATATTAACAATGGCTTGTGTGTGAGTCTTAATTTCTCTGATGTTCACATTTAATTGGCAACTAATTTGTTTGAATTAGGTTTTAATTAAGGTATATACCTCCCATAGGATTAAGCTCAACATTTCTATATTTGAAAACTTTTCTCTTTTATGACAGTTCCTTTGACAAAACAAATATGTTCATATCTTTATTTGCAGGTCTTGAAAATGAGCTACAACAAAGTCCAAATAATTCAGAAGGATACTTTTTATGGACTTAGGAGCTTGACCCGGTTGCACATGGATCACAACAGAATTGAGTTTATCAATCCTGAGGCATTTTATGGACTCACCTTGCTCCGCCTGGTCCATTTAGAAGGAAATCGACTCACAAAGCTCCATCCAGACACATTTGTCTCCTTAAGCTATCTCCAGATATTTAAAACCTCTTTCATTAAGTACCTGTACTTGTCTGATAACTTCCTGACCTCTCTGCCAAAAGAAATGGTCTCCTACATGCCAAACCTAGAAAGCCTCTATTTGCACGGAAACCCATGGACCTGTGACTGCCATTTAAAGTGGTTGTCTGACTGGATTCGGGGAAAGCCAGGTATCTATACTGTTTGTTTCTTAGTACTAATTAAATGGAATAACCAGCTGGAGGTACTTTACCTGCAATAGAAAGTTCTAGATAATGTAGATGCACCAAATGAAGTCCCCAGAATAACCCAGTGGCAATGAACTCTGCACCCTACAGCTGTGTTTATGCCACAGTGGGAAAATAGAAAGCTGTGTCTGTGACGATAAGAATCTTTCCTACTTGGCATTCTCTGTTGAAACATTGCTCATCTGTGGTCTAAAGTACCAACTGTCAGGTCCTCTAATGTGGCCCAGGCCTGTCCTCAGCCTCTATAAGAACCTTCCTCCCCTCCCCTTCCCAGGCAGGCACATTTCATGCCAGTTCCTGACACACCACAAGACCACAAGCACTTCAGCTGTTGCCTCTGCCTGCAGCTCCTGGCTTCCTTCTCTGCTTGATGTGTTCCCAGACAGCAGCTCTTCTCAGCATTGCCTCTCCAGCAGAGTCACACTGCTCACCTACCCCATCCGCATCAGAATCATGGCCTCAACACTCCTGTAGTTTCCCTGTTTCCTTTCTTGAATGAACATTATGCTATACTCATAGAATTAATTTATAGAATGAAGTGTCTGCTGTCTTTGCTATGTCTAACTTATCTATCCTTAGCCTCGTCAACATATGTGGGACACAAAATGTACTTAATACTTTTTGTTCAACCGTTAATATATAGGTAAAAAGAAATGAGTCCGCCATCTATCTATTAGTTACCTATGCTCTTAATATGTCTGAAACATGTGCATGTGTGCATGAAAATACATAAAAAGTATGTGCCATGCACCAATACCCAGTGTACATATATGTCATATAATTATATACATATATGTCAATTACAAAAAAAAACAAAAACAAAAACAAAAACAAAAAAAACCTTTAGGACTAAAATCTTTCAACCATGTCTAAATGACAGGTTCCCTTGTGCTATTGATCTCTTACTGACAATTTCACAAGACTCATAAATTATTCAAACATCTTTATACTTAGAAATCTTTCATCTACCCTAAGCAATCTGATCGCCTCTCCCCGGGAGTATGGCCCTTTCTCTGACACTTGCTGTAGTTCAATGTTAATAAATTCATCTCTACTTGCATCTTCCTTTCTTTGGCTCCACAAAAATCTTGGTGTTGCTTTTCAATAAACACAGGCTTTTGTCATTTTCCTGACATGTATTTGTTCGTGACTCTAAAACTTGAGTTTTGCTGATCTTCTCTTATGCATATATATGTATGTCACCACTTTACAATGCCAAATCATAGTGTAGTCTTCATAAAACCATCCCAAGTAGCCAACTTAACAAATATGTGTGACAGAATTGAAAACAATATAAAAGGCTATAACAAGATTTCTAGGGATACAGATGGCAATAGCTGAATAAAGACTGTAAGTGGCCAATGTCTCCCACAGAACTTCTTTATCTCAATTTTTAAGTTAAAATGTATAAACACCAGGGTCTTAGAATTAGTCCTGCCAACTGCCTGTCTTCCTGACATTTCTCTTCATCCTTCTATCTTCACTCACTCCTTTCTTTTCTTCTCTTCCCTGAACATCTTTCTTGGACATCCCTTGACCAGGGATAGGACATATAGATCTATAAACAGAGCTCACTGTGCTGTGGGAAAATAATCAACCAAATAAGACATTCTAATGGTGAATGCCAAAGGTTAAGATGGGGAAATCAGAGGGCACCATGAGAGGTAAGGCTGGGAGCCTACTAGATATAAGTGCTGGTCATACTGAGTCCTTGAGGAGTGTGTAATTCGTGATGGCATTGGGCATGAGACAAACAGCTCATGTCAGAGCTTGGTATTGAATGACAGGACTGGGGGATGAAAAACACTGTGTAAGACTGGAAACTGGTGTGAAGGGAATGACGGGACACAGTCAGACTTGAATCTGAGCAAACAGGAGGCTCATTAGCTCCGATCCAGTCACAAGTAGTAATCAGCATCACAAAATATGAACAAAATTCTGTGATGAGGTTTAACTAAGCCAGACGTAAACTATGCTTTCTGCTTCATGAGATCAGATCCAGGGCACTGACAATCAGGTAAAGGACACAGATTGTCAGTAGGTGGCAGATGGCATTGGAAGGAGCTCCTTATCACTGTTTAAAGCTTTTTATTCTTTCTACCTCCTTCCTCTGTGCAGTGTTATTCTATAAAATTAGGTGAATAATGACTGATCAAATATTACTTGGCACACTGAAGTACAGTAGTGTTCCCTTTTCCATGAAGGATTCATTCCAGGAGTTGCAGTGGATACGAAAAAACTGTAGGTAATACCAAACATCTCTGCACACTGTGGCCCTAACTTTGGAAGTATAAAGTACAATAGCAAAATTAACATAGGTTTCTCTTTCAATCTTTCTAATTTCACAGCCACATTTTCACCACAAACCATAAGACTTCAGCATGTGGTTTGCAATGTGTTGCTTTGTATTTTCTTTCCTAAGTTGAGAAGCTTCTTCTGAAAGAAACCATGTCCATAGCTTCTCTCTGTCCTGATTATCAGCATCACCACTCTTGTGTCTTAGGGTATGACTAATAAAATAGGGATTACTATGATACCATAACAGTTTATTCGATGTTGGAGATGACTACTTAGTAGCTATTAGGCATGGAGCATGTGCCCTATGCATACACTAGAAGGAAGGATTGTGTCCTGTGCTGGGGTGGAGCCCACTGAGACAACATGAGATTTCATTAGAGTACTCAGAATTGCATGCAATTTCAAACTTATGTTTCTTTTTGGAATTGTTCAATCCATATATTTAGACCATGGTTGACTTCAGATGAGAGGACTGGTACACACTTAAAGGAGTTAGAGCTTTTGAGCATAGTGACTTTGTCCTTTACAAGGAAACTGCACATGTGAGAAGCTGTTCTCAAGAATTATAGCTAAGACATCTAATGTTTCAGCTACCTGCTGTATTCAGCAAACAGTATAGAACTGTTATGTGGGACAGCATGGAAGTCTCAGACTGTGTGTGTTTCAGAGTAAATTCTATATCTCTTATGTAGTATTGAATGGCCAGCTTTTTAAAATTGATTCATCAGAGCAATATTTAAATTTCCCAAGTATATGAACAGGGCTCCTTTGTGACTAATAGTTTATGATTTACAAACTCTGACATTACCAGACACAGTCTCTCCCCTCCCCCATTAAACTTGTCTCTCCACTACTGAGCCCATCTCATCTAACAGCACCATCACTAAATAAGGCTGGATTGGCCATCCCAACTACCTTCCATGTTCCATCAATACTCACATCGTATTGGCTGGTTTTACCTGTATCTTTGTCTCCTCCTCCTGTCTGCACTTCTCCATTCCTATTTCTAAAAACACAAACTGTTCTTTTGGATGATGGAGAAATACTTGGATTTTTAATGCTATCCCAGGACTTTAAAGGTTTTCAAGCAAGTTACCTTTTAAAGTATAGCCAAGTTCTTACTGTCCTAAAAGTTTGGCATGAGGAACTGAAGTGTTATTAACCAAAGTACTGAACATGAGCTTATAATTTTGTTTCTCTAGATAAGGAAATGGTTCATTCAATTAATACTTATCAAGTACTAAATATATATCCAGGTCTTAATAACCAGGCATAATAAATACAGCTGTGAATAAAGCAAATAAAACCCCTGTATTGTATTGTATTGTATTGTATTGTATTGTATTGTAGCATGATGTGTAGACAGTATGTTTTTAAAAACTCATTTCACAAACTTCTTTGAACTCTACTGAAAATATTTCTTCAACGTATTTATGTGTTAATTTATAAAGATGCCACAACTTTTGAAAATAATTTAATTATGATTTTCTTCCTAGATATAATAAAATGCAAAAAAGACAGAAGCCCCTCCGGTCCTCAGCAGTGTCCCCTTTGCATGAACCCCAGGATCTCTAAAGGGAGACCCCTCGCTATGGTACCAGGTGGAGCCTTCCTGTGTACAAAGCCAACCATTGATCCATCACTGAAGCCAAAGAGCCTGACTATTCAGGAAGACAATGGATCTGCCTCCATTTCACCCCAAGATTTCATAAAACCTTTTGGCTCCCTGTCATTGAACATGACAGACCTGTCTGGAAACAAGGCCAATGTGATCTGTAGTATCCAAAAGCCATCCAGGACATTGCCAATTGCATTCACTGAAGAAAATGACTACATCATACTAAATATATCATTTTCAACAAATCTGGTGTGCAGTGTAGATCAGAATCACATTCAGGCCGTGTGGCAACTACTAGCTTTGTACAGTGACTCTCCTCTGATACTAGAAAGGAAGCCACAGCCTACGGGGACTCCACAGCTGTCTTCCAAATATAAACAGTTGGCTCTAATGCCTGAAGACATTTTTACCAACATAGAGGCTGATTTCAGAGCTGATCCTTTTTGGTTCCAACAAGAAAAAATTTTCTTGCAGCTGAACAGAAATGCCACCACACTTAACATGTTACAGATCCAGTACTCCAGTGATGCTCAAATCACTTTACCAAGGGCCGAGATGAGAGTGGTGAGACTCCAATGGACCATGATTATGATGATGAACAATACCAAACTGGAACACACTGTTTTGGCTGGTGGCACTATTGCCCTGGACTGTCCAGGCCAAGGTGACCCTTCACCCCACTTGGAGTGGCTTCTAGCTGATGGGAGTAAAGTGAGAGCCCCTTATGTTAGTGAGGATGGACGAATCCTAATAGACAAAAATGGAAAGTTGGAACTCCAGATGGCTGATAGCTTTGACACGGGCTTGTACCATTGCATAAGCACCAACTATGCAGATGCAGATATTCTCACCTACAGGATAACTGTGGTAGAGCCCTTTGTAGAAAACATGCATGAAAAAGGAGTTCAACAAATAGTGGCTACTGGTGAGACACTTGATCTTCCATGTCATTCCTCTGGTATTCCAGATGCTTCTATTAGCTGGGTTCTTCCAGAAGATACCATATTCTCTCAGTCATCAAGAGACAGACAAATTCTTAAAAATGGAACCTTAAGAATATTACAGGTTACCCCAAAAGACCAAGGTCATTATCGCTGTGTAGCAGCCAACCCATCAGGGGTTGATTTTTCCATTTTTCAAGTTTCAGTCCAAATGAACAGCCAAAGGTCAGTTGAGAATGACAGGGAAGCAGATGGATCTGGACTTGGAGAACCCAATCCCATTATTTCCCCTAAGCAGCCACCACCCTTCAAACTCTCTACATCAGCTTCAAGAGGGGCAGAGACTGGAAAACAAGTCTCCAGTATACTTAAGAAAGACAAATATAGAGAGTCAATACATCGCCGGCGTGGGGATTCCACACTTCGGCGTTTTAGGGAGCATAGGAGGCAGTTCCCTCTCTCTTCTCGGAGAATTGACCCACAACACTGGGCAGCACTTTTAGAGAAAGCAAAAAAGAACTCTGTGCCAAAGAATCAAGAAAATGCCACAGCAAAGCCAGTGCCACTGGGCACTCCGACTGTGGTTCTCCCAGCTGAGGAAGAACGTGCTTCTGGCAAAAATTCTCTAGACAAAGAATTCGTGGTTCTGAGAACTAAAGCATCTGGTGTCACAGACAGGTCATCAGCTGCTGACTCTACACAAGTCTCTTATGGCTTTGTGACAAGTATAACTTCTGACATAGAAGTCTCCTCAACTGTGAATCCACAAACACTACCATCTAAGCACCTTCGTGATTTCAAATTATCTAATGTTACTGACACCACACCTGTGTCAAAGAGTATAAACCCAACTTCAGAAAGCAAAATAGAAGATGTAACTAACCAAAATCCAATCATTACCTTTCCATCGGTACCTGGAGTAGTTGGAATTCAGGATAATGTTCAGTTAAGGAGAAGAACATCTTCCCAAAGTACACACCCAGTAACATGGGGAACCATGGCTGCTGATGGCCGTACCAGCAAAGCTGATACAGTCTTACAGTCAGTAAATCCAACAGAGGATTATGAGCATCAGATACCTATAACAGAAGTCAGCAGAGCCAGGAGTAGTGACACCTTTTCTCACACCACTAAAGGGCCTAGCTTCCCTAAGCACCTTTCAGATTCACACACAGCTGCCCCTTCTCTTATTCACATTCCTAGAAACAGTACAGCTAATTTCCCCTTGTCCAGGCACTTTGGGAGAGAGGGGAAAATTTTGAGCAAAGGGCGAGTTATAAGTCCATATAGAACCCCAATTCTCAGACGGCATAGATACAGGATTGTGAGGCCAGCACTCAAAGGACCTGATAACAAAAATACTAGTGATTTTTCAGCCACAGAGCAACGTAGGATGTGCCCAACCTGTTCTTCCACAGAGACGATCACCATGGCAACTACAACACTATCCATTCCAGGTTCATCCCTCAGTAACCTCCCCAGAGCTAACATCACTGAGGACATAGCAGCAGAGTCTACCACTGTGGTCCAGAACCCACCATTATTATTTAAGAACAAACAACATGTAGCTATTGAGACATTACCAAGCACCATAAAATATTTCAGAGCTGAAAGTACCCCAGTGACTCCCAAAGAAGCAAGCACGACTTCTGCTCCAACACATGTATCCCTGGACATAACTCTAGTAGACAATAGCAGTTACCAGAGTGTGTCTAGTACCATTCAAGCTGAACGTGATTCAGTGGTAACATCACCAGTTTCTGGTATGCTCAGCAAATCCTCAATGCCAACAAAATCAACAAACACAAAATTCTCAAGAAGGAAAATTCCCTGGAACCAAATCTTTGTAAATAACCATAACAAAAAAGGGATGTCAAAGAATCTGTATCAGTTTGGTTTACAGAAGAACACAGCCACAATGTTTCCCAAAATAGCTCCCCTTTTATCCACTGATCATGGTTCCCCCTCACATTCTACAACACTCTCTGCAACTTTGATGCATACTCTGTCCACAGCAATGGGTGCCACTCACCACAAAGCCACTAAAGGGACCAGAAATCTCTCAGCGGGCAAGGAGCAGCCCTTCATCAATTCCTCCCCAGTGCTTTCTAGTGCCACAAGCAAGGAGGCTAGTACAATAAACTTCCTGTCAGTAGAAACAGCCACACCGGCAATGCCTACTGCCCCTGCATCTGTCATTATCTCTGAAACCCAAAGAGCAAGTTTCATAGAAGCAAAAGGCCAAATAAACGGGCCTCAGAAGAACAGGAATGACCCAAACACCACCCCACGGCAGAGTTTGAGCTTCAGTATGTATCCAGCTCCAACAGCTGATACTTCCTCAGCTTTCACTCACTCCTTACTACAAGACACTAGCAGAACTGTAAGCACAGTTGCTCTCCACTCAGAAACTAGTCTCCTGGGCATAAATGAACTGTCTCAGAAGTATACTCAAACTTTGGGAAATACAACAGCTTCAGAAACAACTTTGTTCAGCAAATCACAGGAGGTAACCACAATGAAAAGAGCCGTGGCTACACCACCATCACTTAGTGGTGGGGCTCACCTGATGCTCATTCCTTCCTCTCCTCCCTTTCCTAGGGGTGTAGTTACAGACAGTGAGGTCACATCGACTTTCAAGACGATGGCCAATAGAATGGTCACCATATATGAATCATCAAGGCACAGTACAGATAGGCAGCAATCTTCAGCAGAGATGCTCCCAGATCCCGAGATCTTAACTGGAGCCACTTACTTTACCTCCTCTGATCTGTTCCCTCCCACACCTGTGCCAGAATTAAGAATAGATAAACCACAGAATTCTAAATGGAAGCCAGAAAACCACTTTCAGCACAAGTCATACTCAGAAACTATTGTAAAGGGCAACAGGCCAGCAGGGAGCGTGTGGTCCCCTCTCAGCTTTCCAGAGGCTACCACTCATGCCTTACATTGGAATGGACAAAAGCATGCAGAGAGTGTCTTGGATAAGAAACCTGTTCAAAACCCAACTTCCAAACTCCTTCCCTCTGACTCTTTACGTAAAACTATATTGGAAAAACCAAGAATAATTGGAGGAAAGGCTGCAAGTTTTACTGTTCCAACCAACTCAGATGCCTTCCTTCCTTGTGAGGCTGTTGGAAACCCCCTGCCCACCATTCACTGGACCAGGGCCTCATCAGGTATTTGGAACCATTAACAATATTGATAATTAATAATGAAGCAAGTAAATTATTGCATCTTTCAGAGTTGTCTTCAAATAATCAACACTAGGTTTAAATTCCTCCAAAATATAAAACTTATTAGTGTCCTCATTGACATTTGCATATTGCTCATGAGAAGAAAATTTTTTTAGATTTTACTTTTTAATTGTGTGTGTGTAAGCATGTGTGTATGTATGTGTGTATGTGTGCATGTGTGTACACATGAATATGTGTGTGTGTGTATATGTGCATTTGCACACATTAGGACAGGTGTCTTAGGAAAAAGGTACCAGATTCCTTGGAGCTGGAGATATCTCTTCAGTCCCTATTAGAAAGTTTTAAACTTTAGATTTATTTTATGTGTATGAGTATTAGGCCTTTATGTGCATCTTGGCACATATGTGCCTGGTATGCACACAGGTCAGAAGAGGGAATTATACCTCCTAGAACTGGAAGTACAGATGACTGTGAGCCAGGATGTGGGCATTGGGAACTGAACCCAGGTCCTCTGCAAGACCAACAGGTACTCTTACCTGTGGATCAATCTTTCCATCCCTCACTAGAATATTTTTTAATGTGTTAAGAAGAGTCTGGTGGGACAACTGGATGGCTCCATATGTAAAGGGAACGTACTGCCAAGCCTGAAGGCCTGAGTTCAATCCTTGGAACAGACATGGTTGGAAGAGAGAACCAAGTCCCACAGGTTGTTTTCTGATCTCTACACACTGGCAGTGACGCATATGTGACCATAAACACACACACACACACACACACACACACACACACACACACACAAACCAGCATGGACCTACACATACACAAATCAATAAAATGTAATGATAATGGAAGTTTAAAAGAATAGTTTTTGAGGTTTGATAGAAGGGCACATGCCTATACTCCCAGCAATGTGATTGAGTTCAATGCCAGCCTGGGCTATAAAATTCGTCCCCATCTCAAAACAACAGTTTTGAAGAAATAGTTTGGGAGGCTGGAGAGATGGCTCAGAGGTTAAGAGCACTGGCTGCTCTTCCAGAGGTCCTGAGTTCAATTCTCAGCAACCACATGGTGGCTCACAACCTCCGTTATGAGATCTGGTGCCCTCTTCTGGTGTGCAGATATAAAGGGAAGCAGAATGTTGTATACATAATAAATAAATAAAATCTAAAAAAAAAGCAACTCTTTAAAAAAATAGTTTGGACCAATTGGTTTTCTGATATTAAATGGTCTGCACTAATACCATATACACACAGGCAACATAGGGCTGAGCAGAATGTATTTATATATTTGCATATACTTATTCACAACAATAATTAAAAAGAAAGAGGCCATAAATTTGAAAAATAGCAAGAGGGAGTACATGGAAGGAGTTGGAGGAAAGAAAAGGGGGGGTAAAATGATTGTTCTGTAATATCAAAAATAAAAACATTAAATAATTTGTTAAATCCAACAAAAATACTTTGAA